AAGATTTGCCAACCTCTGCTATATAACATACAAAAATCCATGGATTGAGGGAGGGATAATATTAAAAAGATGGTAATCATCTTCCAAAGAAACTGAAGATCAAGTACAGGGAAAAGCCCATGTGACCACTACCTGGAAGATGTCCTGTGTATTACGATGTCAAAGAGAAAGAGCATGAAAGGTAATTTTACATGTGAGCCCTAAGTCAAGAAACATAGGCAAGACCCTCTAAGTTGCAGGTGTGGATTTGAAATTGAGCTGCTTCTCACACAGGCAATTCTATGCAGCCCACTGCAGGGTAGCAGCCGCCTAGATTGAATCATTCTCCTGGATGGCATCAGGGAAGCCTACCCATCTAGGATTAAAATTTAAAACACAAAAGGAGATGGTTCCAGCAAAAGGAACGTACTTCCTGTCCTTGGTCACTGTCCAATAACTCTGGTACTTCTTGAAATCTGAGAATGTTGTGCTTAATCTGATGGAGCAGAGATGTTCCCAGTAGATTACACCTGCTAGTGGAGGGTGACTCTCATACAGTGGTGGGTTTTCAAGGTTCTGGACAAAGATTTCATTCACTATGTCAATCCTAGATTTCTTCTCTCCTTCTGAAAGTTTACTGTGTTGATTTGTTGCAAGGTTCTGGACAAAGATTTCATTCACTATGTCAATCCTAGATTTCTTCTCTCCTTCTGAAACTTTACTGTGTTGATTTGTTGCCAGATGCTTCTTCTGTCACTCTGGAATGGGCTTTGTGGAGAGAGACATCCTCTTCTCTTCTTTGGTCTCTGCTGGTGACTCCCTGTGTCAATGCACTCCAGTGGCTGGTAGACCATCTGCACAGTGGTTGTGACATCTAAGCAAGCCACTTTCACGGCGGCCATGGTTATTGTGGTGGCTGTGGTGGGCCACCCACACAGAGGTGATGTTTTTGGCCTGCTCTGTGGTGCTGGCAGTGTGCCTGGTTGTGGGAGGGTGGGTCAGGTCCCTGGCTCCATGCCTCTGTACCCCAGGCAGGCCCTGAGGCACCAGCAGTGTGCCTGAGCTGGAACTAATTTTTTGTCCTTTGCTTACTTCTAAAATGGGGGAACTTGCTTTGGGGACTAGTACTTGAGCTGTGTGGTTGAGCTAAATTGCTGTTTTGTTTCTGATTCCCTAGGGAAGGCTTTTTGTGCAGCTCAGGTTTTAATGGTTAACTTTATAGGTACTTCTGGCTCTCCAGAGACCCAGTGCGCCTGGGTTGTGTAGAGACTCTGGTCTGAGCCTGAGTCCTTTTATGAAACTGCACCCCCTGCAATTCTGCATTCCTGACCAGTTTCCTCTGAGTGGTCCTACACTGATTGGGAGGTAGACCAGCTGTCCTTGCTGTGCCCCAGTGTTCTCCTGGTGGGCCCGTCTCCCCTACCACCTGCACTCCAAACACTTCCCATGGGACAGGACATCCTCCAGTCCCTTGCGATGACTCACTGGCCTCTGAGTGGCTCCTTTTTGTCAGTTGTTCTGGCTCCTCGCTCCTGTGTGGATCCATGGGAACCCTATTAGTGGTCTTGCTTGCCTGGGGGCAACCAAGGCTCTCTTCTCCCCTGCCACCTCCAAGCGACTCCATCCAAAGGGCACAGCTGCAGCTTTTGTCAGCTCCTTCCCTGTGCACTCAGCAGCTCCAGCCTTAAAGCGGCCATGGCATGAAACAGTTGGAGTGGTTTTTTCTTTCTCTCATTGTGGTTTCTCCTTCCTTCATGCACTATGTAGGTCTCTCCTAGGTCTCTCCTCCTCTTCCCCTGATGCTAGTGGCCATAGCTTGGCTGTCGTTGCTTTTTTATAGTTTTAAACTGGTTGATTTGTGGGAGAGAGTGATGCTGGGACTGTCTATTCCGCTGCCTTGACCGGAAGCCTAGAACGTGACTTTGAGTTGCCACTATCAATGTGTGTGTGGTTGTGCAAATCAGTGTTACCTCAGGGATGAAGAAGGGGCTGTTAATTAACTTAAGCCATCTCCAAGGTTCCTTGTTCCAAGATTCTAAGAGATGCCAAAATTAAGGTGGACTGAAAATAAATTTTCCAAGGGTCTAGAAAGCCTGTAAGAGTAGTAACATTGTTTTCTGCTTTAAAAAAAAAAGTGTACACATACACACGTATATGAGGGTACTGCAGATAACATGAATCTTTCCATGAACTTTTTGAAGACCATTCATATATAGTTGCACGTATGCATTTCAATATGCTTAGAGCAGAGATTAAAGTAAACCCAGGCAGCCAGCCAGTGTATTTTGTAAGCTCCTTGAACAGCTACATTTGGAGTGAGACCACTAACCAAATGTGCATCACTCCACCTGGAGTACACTTGTGTGTGTGTATCTATACATATCTCTATCGCTATTTTCATAGTCATGTTGATATCTATATGCATCACCACTATTTATTATGTGCTTAGTAAGTGCTGGGCACTGTTTTTACCCCTTGACATTCACTCCTTCATTGTCCTCTTAAGGAATGACACAAGTTGCTTTTCACATCTGCTTCCGGAATGGAGGGCAGCTGCTATGGCAGTGCCTAGGGCCATAGAAGTTGGTTATCTAAGGAGCACTTTCCTGTAAGCTTGCTCCACGCCACCAGAGAGAGAACAAGAAGTTTGGCCCTCCCTTTTCCCCCTCGCACCCGGGTAACCCTCTTTTGCTTGGCTTTGAGAAGGGAGGGGGTTCTCTTTGTCTTAACACAGAAGGGTACACCTTAGGTCTTGCATCTCCAGGGCCAGTTTTCTATTTACATTGCTGTTTCACATTCTTAACCTATCAGTTAATTGGAAATTGACTTTTGTTCAATCCAAAGGAAAGAGGGAACAAGAATTTATTTATTTATTTTAAAAAGATGACCGGTAAGGGGATCTTAACCCTTGACTTGGTGTTGTCAGCAACACACTCTCCCAAGTGAGCCAACCAGCTATCCCTATATAGGGATTTGAACCTGTGGCCTTGGTGCCATCTCCCAAGTGAGCCATGGGTCGGCCCTAAGGGAACAAGAATTTAAAAACACACAAAAAGATAGCTGGCTGGTTAACTTAGTTGAATAGAGAGTGGTGCTGATAACACCAAGGTTCAGAATTCAATCCCTGTACCGGCTAACCACACACACACACACACACACACACACACACACTCTCTCTCTCTCTCTCTCTTCAGAATTCAATCCCTGCCCCGGCTCCCCCCCCCCGACTGTGTGTGTGTGTGTGTGTGTGTGTGTGTGTATATGTATTCCACCATTTAAAAAAACAAAAAGTAAAGTCGAATATATATATTTATATATATATATATATATATATATATATATATCCCTATTTTTTTTTTTTCCTATATAAAGATGACCGGTAAGGGGATCTTAACCCTTGGCTTGGTGTTGTCAGCACCACGCTCAGCCAGTGAGTGAACCGGCCATCCCTATATGGGATCCGAACCCGTGGCCTTGGTGTTATCAGCACCGCACTCTCCCGAGTGAGCCACGGGCCGGCCCCAATTTATATTTTTATGAACAGAATTTGTTGAGTTTTGGGACATCCATCCTTGATTTGTATTTCCTTTCTAGTCATAGTTTGTACTTTTTACAGAAAGCCACATGAAGATGAATATAATTTGTACTTTTTGCTCAAACACCCACCAGTCTAGTTTTTTCTTCTTATAATTTACTCTAATTTTGCTTTGAAGAAATGACTCAACAAAAACCAAAGGAATGTAAATCAGCAAATTAAAACACTTTTTTTGGGACGACCACCATCTTTAAAGAATTCTATAAAATTGTTTCAGGAATTAACATGGGGAAGATCATAAAGAATAAACGTTTGAAGAAATGACTCAACAAAAACCAAAGGAATGTAAATCAGCAAATTAAAACACTTTTTTGGGGACGACCACCATCTTTAAAGAATTCTATAAAATTGTTTCAGGAATTAACATGGGGAAGATCATAAAGAATAAACGTTTTTTTTTTGTTGTTGTTGTTGTTGTTAAAGAAAGGTAAGAATACCCTTAGTTTTCTAACAATGTGAAAACTCCACCTGGACATGACGGAGATAAAGATTTCCACCCTGACCTACCTCCTGAAGACCAGGATACACAACAGCAGCCTTTATTTCCTAGGCTGTTATCTGAATGACGAGGACGCAGTGATGTGCTGGGACAACTGATGCTGCTGCTGCCACCCTCTCCCTTCAGCACAGTCATCTGTGTTCTCTTCTCTGAACACCTAAGTTTTCCAAACTGGGGGTAAAGCACCTACCAGAGTGTGCTCTTCCTCAATTGTTTTTAGCAATTACATTTTAATTGACTTGTACAATTTGTATCTATTTAGTTTTGGAGCTACAAGGAATTTTGAAAAGAGAACCAGTATTCTTCCCTGGCAGGTCAAAAGAATTGGTGGTTACTACTTTTGTATTGAGCTGGTGACCAAGTATAGACTTGTGTTGGCAGGCTCTGACCACATCTACTGACTCCTATTTAAGATTAGTTTCTAGAAGTCTTAAAAATGTTCTCTTCTACCTGCATGCCTACAGCAAACCCATTACCAAAGAACTTTAGGATAAAAGTTGCCTCCTCCAAGCCCAGCTTTTTCTTGATTTTAAGTTCTATATGCTACTCTCAGCATTAGTGATTTTGGCATTGACAACTTCTAGTAGAAGTATGGAATGATCATCCACATATTAAGTTTAGGGTCTCACTCTTCCCAGCTTTTAGAATGTAGGATAGTGTAGTAGGAAGAACATAAGCTGCAGAGGCAGGTAGGTCTGGGCCAATCCCTCTTGTGTCCCTTACTTTGTTTAATACTGTGGACATGTGGCTTAACCTAAATTCAAATTCCCCATGTAGAGTATAACCTGCTTTGCAAGTTAGATGTAAGGACTACAATAATGTGTAAAACACAGGACAGTGCTGCACAACATAGTAGCTGTTAATATAGTATGTGTTAGCAACATAGCTCCATATTCTTTTGTGCATGAAATACAAGAAAACAAGTAGCACTGGTAACAACACATTTATTTACGTACCCTGTTGTGTGACCGGGAGGTGTTTTTCACTTTCCAATAATTGATTAGGTTATAACAATTAAAATTCCAGAAGGTAAACTGTTAATTTATTGTTGCTCATAAGCATAGATAAACACACACGGTACCACATAAAGGAATTTTAAACACTTCTAACCTTTTGGTATAGCTTTGAATATGGACCAGTATACTCAGGCAATAGATCTAACAGATTCTCAATATGCTTCTAAATCTCATGGTTCTCTTCAGATACAACAGGACAAATTTGAATTGAATTTTTAAAATTCAAAAATTTAACCAGGATTCTTTCTGCAAAAGGCCAACATTACTTAAGCCTGTCATATTTATCACTGATATAGCTGTATTGCTATTAAAAGTAAAATCATGGTAGGCAGCAGCCAACTAGTTGCTAGTCTTATTTTGTAGATTTAATATTTTTTGAAAATAATTCACCTCAGATGGTGGGCTATAAGTTTATTTTTAAATAGTTTTAAACTTTTATGTACTAATTAAATTCACATAGAGCCCAAGTCAAACAATTGGTCAGCATTTCAAACTGGGTTTTCATAACAGAATCAGCCATTTCTGAGACTGCATCATACAGGACATTTCCTTTCAGAAAGCCTTTTATTTCTGGCTTAAAATCTCACAACATATACTTTTAGAGTGCTTGGTAAGTGTAACTAATAGATACATTACTTGAGCAGGATATAAGAATGTGCTGATCACCAAGTATGAGCTTTGTGTTACATTAAATTAAAATTACATACTGCTGGAAATAGACAAGATAGGGAGTTCCTAGATCCTAGAAAACATTATGGCTAAGGAAATAGAGAACTCAAAAAAGGAATCCACCTCCAAGAAACTAATTCAGTATATAAGTGCCCTGTTCTTAGGAAAAAGTTTAATAAGGAACAACTGGGACATCATACATTGTTTCTTTGGAGATTAAAGTGCAGGCTATGAAACGGCATATAAAGTAATGCATAAAATAGTGCAATCTTAAGGTGCCATTATTTTTATTATACATAGCCTATTTTTATATGTCCATTTCCTCTAAAAATTCCAGCTGTAGTGACACCTTTTAGCTTATTTATTTAGGCATTACTTATACTCTGTTTTACCCACCTTTGGGGCTACATAGAATATTTTAACATTTTAACATGTAGAATAACAGCGCATACATCTTGAAACTACTAAATAGAGATTAAGGCAAGCCCCTGTAAAGTTCAGTACTCCAAAAAACACATTTTACAAAAAATGTTGCTTCCCAAACCAGTGGCTTTAAACCTGATGGCATCCCAACAGACTTTAAAACAGTATGACTACTCTGAATACATTTGTGTTTGCCCCATTATTTCCAGGCTCTGTACATCAGAAGAGGAGTTTGAAAAACAACAGGTTCTATAACCTCAGAATGTGTGAAAACCACGTAATCCGAGTCCACGTGGGAGATAGCAGAGGATCCAGTTAGGGTGCAGGGAGTGCTGGTCCTCTTCATATACATGCCTTTTGACATTTTTATCCACATGTATAGTGTTGTACCATAATAAATTTATATGTGGGAATGACCCATTAAAACAGAGAAGTCTCCTCTGAAAAACAGCCAAGGAAGAAGACGGGAACACTTTATGAAATGTTTCACTAGGACAACACAATGCATTTAAATTATTGACATAAAATGCAGGGCAGGATGGTTCTCTCGGGAGGCTAATCTACAATTTTTCCTGTAACATATGTCAGTTTTAGCTGATCAAAATGTGTGATTTGTTGAATCTTAAATACCATTATGCTACCCAAAAGTAGGTATAACAGCTATCAAATAAGTGACGAAGGCAATATCCTAACACGCTGTAGCTAGTCTAAGTAAGACGACTTAACTGAATTACAGTGCTTTATTCTCCTACTGTTATACAATGCTCATCATTAACAAGTTCAACTCATCAGCCTTATAGGCAGGTGATTACAAGTATATGCTGCAGAAATTTGGATTTTGGAACAGAAAATCTACCTTCTAATTATGTGAATGCTTATTATGAAAGCCATATACTCACATTAACTAATGGAAGACCACAGATACATTTAGGCTCTCTAGATTTAGCTTAAAAAGAAATTCAGGAAACTTTTAATAATCTGTAAACAACTACTAAAAAAATAATGAGGCTGTACCCCTTCGATGAATAAGAATCATACTTTGTAAACCAGTAAACACATAGTTTGATACTTAAAGTCTTCCTATTACCAGAAAAGCAGATTATAAAAAGCCATGAGTATTCCAGTAGGCCTCCTCCAAAGTTATGATAATATGGCTAAATCCTGAATTACAAAAATAAGAACTGCTTAGAAATGAGTTCCAGACAGGGACTTTTATGGATGACCTTGGCTGACAAGTGTTTTTCGGAAATTGTTTATTTTAAAATTACCTTACCAACAAACCATGAAACACTTGAATGTTACTTTATGGTTTTTCATTGAAAACATATGACATTGTAAATGGAGTTTCAAAGTTAGACACAGAACTGATCAAAATCTAAGGACAATATTATGTAAGGACAATATTAAAAATAAATAGAAAAAAGTTTCACCTGGTGAGTTTAATCTAAAGGATGCATAACCATGTCATTTTGGACGGATAAAAAAGGTGATAACCTTGTGCTTTTACTCAAGTAAGGTACTTACCAAAACCTTAGGTTTTTATACAGGTGTCAAACTTCCACCTGGAAAGGGATAGTTTTCTATATTACACCTAAATTTACTTTAAATAACTGAAGCCCAAGGCCGCAGTTGTTTAAAAGAACTTAGTCAAATAACTACATAATTTAGTACATTAAAATAAACCTTGGACAGTGATAGTTGAATGTCTCAAAAATATACAACTGGGGGAAAATAATCACTGTACACAATTTGGAAGTTGTTAAAGTGACCACTCAGAAGACTGAACAGTGCAAGACATGCTTTTCCAGTTACAAGCTCAAAACAGGAGTGCAAAAGAAATTAAAGCTTTTGTTTAAAGTTGCAGGATAAGGAAAGCTTGAAATTAATATTAAAAAGCTTCCCTTAGACCGGCTCCCGCTCGCTGGCTGAGCGAGGCGCGGGAGCAATGCCAGGGCTTGCGATCCCGTCGCCGGTCCCCGGTCCGGTACGGGGGCAACACTGAGGGTTGCGATCCATTGCCGGACACGGAAAAAAGACAAAAAGAAAAAAAAAAGCTTCCCTTAGGTCGTCCCCCAGAAATATGATCAAAATGCTTTTTCATGGTACATTTTCTTGAATAAACTTTTTTTCAATGGCAAAACTGCATCCCACAAGTTGGGTCCCCTACTCAATCACATTTGATCAATGAGCACACACACTGGTGAGTGAGGAACAGTGTTAGTTGTGGGAGGTCCAATATCAATAGAAAGAGCCTTGGAATTTGGGGTTCTGCTATAGCCAGTACACCTGAACCTTATGGAGAATAGATAAAGCAATGGGCTTTAATAGTCTCTTGTTCTTATAAAGCTGGAGGACAAATGGACTAAACAATCCCCACTCTAGAGGCAAGCTGTTGCAGTGGAAGATGTTAGTGCTTAAATAAACTAAGGTGCTGCTCTAAAAAGTGAAGAATAGAGGTTCAAGATCAATACCAGTGCAAGAGCTTTTTAAGTGGTTGACTAGGCAATGCATGCATCCATCCATGCAAATGTGGGACATGGCCCCAAAAGAGAACCAAAAACGTGTATAACGACTAGATAAATTCCTTGCCAGTAGTTTATAAAAAAATATAGTCAGTACTGTAGAGACTCCTACAGTCAATACTATGGAAGTCCATTTTAGTTACCCATTACTTCAATACCAAAAAGCATTAACTACTTTTCAGACATTCCAGACAAAGGTCACTTACAACAAAAAGTCAACTTTAAAAAAAACAAAAAAAACCAAGATAGTGTCCATTTAAAAAGTTAGGTCTTTTGTTTCAAGTGAACAGGACATTTTCTGTATTAAACTTAACTTCTAGTCTGTCAAGACTGGGTTTAAGATCTTTATGTAATGTGCATATATGCAGAAACAAATAAACTTACTTTAAACATTATCTGCACAGGAAAAAAGTTAACTCCTCAAAACAAGATAGAACAGGTCTGGTTAGTACAAATCTATTGCAAAGTAAAAAGATTGTGTGCATCAGTTCAACCAGGAGAAGCAGGAAAAGAATGTCCCAACCATAAAAGTTCAAGTTTAAGTTGTATTCTGAAAGCCTAGAAGCCTAAGGGATACCATGTTGCTCACAGTATCCTGATATGCATAACAGTTTAAGCTACTAAGCCATGTCTTTCTCTGGAGCTAGAATCACATTCCAATTTATTTTCTATTCCGAAGACGTTTAGATTTCCTAAGAGAGTCTATGGCTTCTGCTGCCTTTTTTCGTTTCCGAGGAGACTCCTCATTCTGCCCAGACCCTGAGGAGTTTCCTACTGCACTTTCCATTACTTCTCGTAGTTTGCGTTCCAGCTCTGCCAACCGTGCATTCTGTTCACCTATGATCTGGGTCTGCTCTAGCAGTTTCTGGTCCTGGTCTTGAAGCTGTTTCTGCTGTTCTTGCACTTTGGTGCGAAGCTCAGAAATTTCACGCCTGAGAACAGTCACGCCAGCACCATTTGTTTTAACCTGCTGCTGAAGTTTGGTAACCTCTTGTCTTGAAGGGTTTTGCTTGGAGAAGAGCTGCATTGTTGTTAGTGCTGCAGACGGTCCTGGAACTGTGGAGAAATAGTTTAAAAGGGTCAATCACTTAAAATGTTTCCCTACTAGTGTTAATACTTAGTCAAACTTATTTTAAATAAAGCATCCTTATTGTTATCACTTATGGTAATTTCTTCTTTTGTGCAATCTACTTTGTCTAATGGATTAATCAGACACCTTGTTTTAACTATAAATGAGTTTGAGTTCTGATTCTTGTGCTCAAGTGACAATATGTGAACTGCCAGAAGGGCATTTAATGGCATAAACTTGGACTTAAAATACTGTAAAACATTTTTAGAACCTAGTAAGAAAATACAAGTAGTAAAATTAGAAAATTATTATTTTCTATCTATCTTATTTTACATAAACAAACATAAACTTTTGAGTTAGAAGTACAGACTTATCATGTTCTTCAGTTCACTCTGCACCTAGTTATATATGCAAAGGCTTCAACTTTAACCAAACAATAGGGACTACATCAAAGAATGGTTATGTCACACATGATGATCACGATGAATTTCTGACATAGTATAGGAAGGCTTTGGAACTATTCTCTTCTAGGAATAACTAGAATGTAACATGGACATAAAAATAACTATTTTAAACTAAGATCCTACTTTTTAAAAAAGCTTATCTCCTGAAGGTTTTTCTAAAAGAACCAGCTGGATACATTCATAACCTAACCCCATCATGCTAATTTTCTCCTTGCACACCTAAAAAACTATAACATTTTCCTTGACTGATGCATTCTTCTTTCCCTGTCTGCTTATCCTTATCTGACTTCCACTCATACACCAAGGCTCAGATCAATGCTTACCTCTTGCAAAGTCTCAAACAGACCAGCCAACACTGATCTTATCTTCTCTAAAATTCTGTCTCTGCTACTCATTTGGCATTTAACTTGATGGTGCCTTAAAATATTTCTCTTGCCTACAATAATTTAACTTTGAGTCTGGATATGTCTTAGCTTTTGAAATAGTAAGATCCTTGAGAGCAGACACCACAAATTACACTTCTTTTTTAGTCTCCACAGGACACAGTACAGTGCTGTGCACATAATAGGTACTGAACAAATAATAGATAAATTAATGCTGAGATGGGCAGCCTTTATTATTAAATTAGAGAGAGCCACTCGGTTGAACCACTGTGTACTGCAGGGTGCTAACTAATCTAAAACAAAACAAAAAATTTTACTAAATTTTCCCCCTTAATTTAAAGTATTTGCAAGGGTTAAGAATATTGAACAATGTAGTCTTTCAGTAGATAAGGGCACAAATCTCTAGGATCCAATATACTTTTGCAAAATAGCTACCACAGAAGTGAGTGTTCAAAATAGACTTATGCACCCTGTCTTTTAAAGTAGTAGCCAGACACAGGGCTGAAACAATTCACTGGATATTTCCATGAAAAAATGTGGCATATTTAATACTGTTTTTAAAAAATGATTATCAACTAATCAGAAACATTAAAAAAAACCCATATATATAACTTTCATCCAGCAATTCTTTTAACGAATTTATCATAAGTAAATAGTTGTGGATGTGTGCAAGGATTTAGCCACAAGATTGTTCTTCAGCATGTAGTTTAAATAGCGAAAAAGTAATTGCTTCTTGACCTTTTGGTTAAGATCAAGTGTAATACTAAAAAACTAGAAACAACGAATGTGCCTACCAGTAGTGGATTAGTTATACAACTTAGGGTCTATAATCCAATCTGTCATTAAAAATGATGTTGCAGATAAATATGTACTGACACAGAAAAGTTCAAGATACATGGCTAAACGGGAAAAACAAGAAGCAAGTTACAAAACTGTGTTGATGTTATTATAAGCTGAACATATAAAAGCAAGAGATACCTGGAGGAGAGCCCATGAGTCTTCCAGACACATCTGATCCTGGTAATTTCCTCTTTAGAATTGGAACAATCTTTTCATCAAAGTATTCCATTGCCATGGAGGAAATATCCCTTAACTCTTGAAGTACTTCATGAGCTCTTTGAGGAGCTCTGGTAGAATTGACATACCTTAATACACGATAAATCTCATCGATCACCTAAAATAACAAATTCTCATTAGCACTTTAGATTTTTATTAAAAAAAAGAAAATAGCTAAACAGGCAGAGCAGCAACTGCTTGTTCTGCAATTCCTGTAAAGTCCTATAGGGTGATTTAACTGAAGTGCTGGCCACTGATAACATTACCATCTGCAACACATGGCTTTTGGGCTTGTTATAATACTTCATACTTATGTTTATTAAGCACCTTTTATATACCAGGTACTGTGCTGGGACTAAGAAATCAGGATGAATAAAATGTAGCTCCTGCCCTGAAGGAAATAACAGTGTAACTAGGGAGACATATGTGGTGCAAGCAAGTAATACAAAGAAGGGTATACAAATTGCTAAAGAAACTAGTGGACTAAACGAAGATATTAAATCCTGTATGGGAGCAGAAGTGGGGGATTACCCAAACCCATACTCTATTAATCTTCCAAACCCCAAAGGACAAACCCTGATTTCATTCTCTGTTTCACACTGCCCCCACATGCTCTATCCCTTGAAATTTCTTTTCTCTAAGTCTTACTGTGTATTGGAACGAGGTCTCAGATCCCACTTCCTTGCCATCCCAGAGGTAATAAGAGATCCTTCTTCATTTTAATGATAATTGCAATGGGAAAACACAAGCCATAACATACACGGAGAAGAAACAAAGTTCTTACAATCCTGGTTCCTAACTCTTGCTGGAATGGTAACTGAATCTTCCTTAGGAATTTACACTCTCAGCTTTTGTCCCTATGGGGTTATCCTTAATAATTCCCCTAGCTTCAGCACAGACCTAAAGGTAATAATTTACATCTCTGAAGACCCAAGTCTGGATGGCATTTATTCCAACGGGCCCTTACTTCACAAGAACCGTGGGTTAATCAATCAAACCATTCTGTCATCAAAATCAGAAACAACCTTGAATCTCACACGTCTCCCACTGCATTTATCTAGCCAGTTCCCAACTCTGGATCAATCTTATAATCTGCCTTCTCATCTCCTTTACTCAGTCTGCTGAGCACAGCTAGAGAAGCCTATAATTTTGCAGAACAGTACCAGGACAAATTCACGGCCCTTAACATTTTCCAGACTCTCAGTGCAATATTATGATCCTTGTTAATCTAGCACGATGTGTGCCTAATAAGCAAAATTAAACTGTTAGGACGTGTCCTTATCATAAGTTGGAGCAGACGTCACAGAAGAGGCCAGGTTCGTAGGCCTGGAGAAGTGAATAGGAACTGGCTTGAGCTGAGGTGGTGTATGTGTAGGCAGGTGTAATGGAGATAAGATGTGCTGGTTTTGAATTACACACGGGACACGCAGGAGATGCAAGTCAGCAGGCAGCTGGAGATACAGACCAGGAGTTCAAGAGAGAAAGTGCAAATGATGGTGAGGCTTTCAGCAGCCAACCGCATAAGAGGGAGAACATGCCAAATAAGAAAGTCAAAGACAAAATCTGAGGCACTAGTGGTTAAGTGAAATATTTATTTCTGGGATTACTATTACTTTAGAAGTACTATCACTTTAGAAGAAAATAACATTTTTTTCTTTTTTTATTTATTTTATTTATGTTATGTTATGTTTTATTTTATTTTTTATTATATTTTCATTTTAATTATTAATTATTTTATTATTTTATTTTATTTATTTTATATTTATTTAATTTTATTATTAATTTTATTTTTAAATTTTTATTTAAAAGATCATTTATTTTATTTTATTTAAAAGATAACTGATAAGGGGATCTTAACCCTTGACTTGGTGTTGTCAGCACCACGCTCACCCAGTGAGCTAACTGGTCATCCCTATATGGCATCTGAACCTGTGGCCTTGGTATTATCAGCATCACAATCTCCCGAATGAGCCACAGGCTGGCCCAAAATAACATTTTTTTTCTATAACTTACTGAACTACCACCATCTTAGGAACTAGTGCATATATTAAAAAAAAAAGGGGGGGGGGCTGGCTGGTTAGCTCAGTTGGTTAGAGTGAGGTGTTGGAACACCAAGGTCAAGGGTTCAACACCAAGGTCAAGGGTTCAGATTCCCTTACTGGTCAGCCGCACACAAAAAAAGAAATGAATGGAATACTTTCCCTTGGGCTTACAATTTAATTCTGTAAGGATATTCTAACTTGTAAAGTAAACATTATTCAAGTATTTATTGATTCTTACTATGTACCTGTCACTTTTCAAAGCACTGGGGTAAAAAACAGTGAACAAAGATGACAAGGCACATTCTCATGAAGAGGTGAAGTAAACAAATAACAAAATAATTTAAAATAGTGCCATGAGGAAAAAAGAGGTTAAAGTGATAGTTCCAGGGCCGGCCCATGGCTCACTCGGTAGAGTGTGGTGCTGACAACACCAAGGCCATGGGTTCGGATCCCATATAGGGATGGCCGGTTTGCTCACTGGGTGAGCGTGGTGCTGACAACACCAAGTCAAGGGTTAAGATCCCCTTACCGGTCATCTTTTAAAAAATAAAATAAAATAAAAATAAAGTGATGGTTCCTATTTTTAAAAGGTCCTTCATATTGACTAACATTTTATATGCTAATGCTAGAATATGAACTGAGCCACTGACCCATAATTATTAGTTTTGTGTTTATTGTTTTA